AAATTCAATCTGAAAAGCTCTTCAAGGGCCCAGAGAAGATGTCAGTGGGGCTCCAGGATGAAGCTTGGGAACATCGACAAGCAAAGCTCTCAGGCATTTGGGCTTATAGGATGGCATCTTTTTTTTTTTTAATTGAGGTATAGTTGATGTACAATATCATATAAGTTACAGGTGTACAACACAGTGATTCACAATTTTTAAAGGTTAAAATCCATTTATAGTTATTGTAAAATATTGGCTATATTCCCTGTGCAGTACATATGTCCTTGTAGCTTATTTATTTATACATAATAGTTTGTACCTCTTAATCCCCTACTCCTATGTTGCCCCCCTCCGACTGGTAACCACTAGTTTGTTCTCTGTATCTGTGAGTCTGTTTCTTTTTTGTTATATTCACTAGTTCATATTATTTTTTAGATTCTATATATAAGTGATATTGTACAGTAGAGGACAGCATTTTTTGTTTGCCTCCTGTCTTAAAGGAGCATGAGCATTATTGACTAGGGAATCAGGATGCTGCATTGTGAACCTGAAGCCCCCACTCACTAGATCATGACCTTGCTTGATTCATTTAAATCATCTGGGCTTCAAGTTTCTCATTGGGTGGCTGTCAGTGTATTTGTTAAGCTCTGGTGAGATAACCTTATGGACATGTGGAAAGCAGCCATAGCTGTCCTCCCACAGAAATTTGACCAAGTTTTCTGCTGCTCTGCCTTAGCTTTGCCTAGAAGGTTTGTGCTGTTTCTACTAAGGTAGAAAATTCATAGAAAACAGGCTCTGGCTTCTTTTCCTTAGATCTCTCTCCCCTGTTCCCTGTGCTCAATAGAACCCCTTTCCTACATCAATAGAACCCCTTTCCTACATCAATAGAACCCCTTTCCTAGGTGGTGGTGGGAAGGGAGGGGCAGTTGAGACTCCTAATGCCCCCCGGGACTTCGCTATTCCCTCTGCCTGGATGTCCTCCCCTCTGCCCCGCAAACCCTCCACCTACTATTTCTACCTGCCTAAATTCTACTCACCTTTCAGTTCCCCAGATCAAAGAACATTCTCTTCTTCTTAAATGTTCTCTGATTCCTCTCAGCTGGATGCAATATTTTCCCATCTTATAAGGCCAGGGGCTTCCTAGCTTTCATTGCAATAACTACAATCTGGTGATTCCCTAACACATACACATTTGAGTACTTATTCTCCTACTAAATTTTACATTCCCAGAGGCAGGGGACTTCCTTATTAAGCACGTGCAACAAATAAGTAATTTTTGACATCCTTCACATTATAATGCAGACAGAACTTGCTATATAAATATTTGCTGAGTTGAGTTGAAAGAAAGCAAATTGAGGACATGTGCCCTAAATCACAATAGTCTGAAGGGACATGGCTGCCCATAATAAGAAGTAGAAAAATGAAGAGTCTGTGATCCCCAGCCAGATGGTTCTCTAATATTACAAATTTTGTGTTTTCATTTGATAAGGTATTTCCCTCCATCATGTTAATACGATGACCCTAGAAATGGGATAGTCTGAACAGAAGCCAGAGCTCAATCCTCCATCTGTACTCAGAAGTCAATGGTTTTTGTAGATTTTTACAATCATAGCAAGGGCTGAAGATATTAAGTAGGGCCAGTGACCCCCTCTATTTAGGTTATGGCCAGAGCTGTCACTGAGCCACATCCTCTCTAGGAGACAGTCCATGCACCCAAGATAAAGTTTCAAGAGGCCCTTGAGCCAGAAAAGTTGTTTGGCCAAATGCCTATGTCTTTTGCCTTGCACTCTCTGGGTTGGTGGGTTCCTTTCTCCAGGGTCAAAACAGTTCCAAAAACAAAACAAGTATCAGGGAATCATGATTATCTCTCTACTCTTGAGCAAGTCACTGCCCCTCTCTGGACCTCAGTTTCCTCTAGAAGGATGGGGATCGAAACAGCTCTTAAGGGTCCCTCCTTCCACGCTCTGATATTCCAGGACTCTATTTGGAGCTGCAGGCTGAATTCCCAGGGCCCTGGGGCCTTTTCTTCCCTGCTTCTAAAGGTATATCTGGCTCAGATTTCCCCATGGGTCTCAGCTGGGGCATGCTTACCTGTCCTCTGGAATAGTGAGGCCCTGCAGGTGATGATCACTTACCTGCCATCATAAACGGTCCTTAAGCCTGGAAGTTACAAGGAGGGAGGTTGTTTATCACAGACTTTCATTAGGTTTCTCCCTTATCCAAATTATCTCTGGCTGATTTCACTTGACAGTGTCCATGCTACAGGTACTATAGAACCCCAGAGACCTTGGGAATACCGAATGAGGAAGGAGGCTGCTGTGCCTGGGAGTGTTAATGCTCAAGGCATGACTCTTCATTAGTAATTGATTCTGTATCACATGGTTATAGACCACAAACAAGTTCAAGTTCATCAAGTTCTTCAGTAGGAAGCAATCTGTGTGTTGAAATTCCTGCTCACCATCCTCTAGTTGGTTTATTTAATGTATGGATATGATGACTTGTTAGAATACTAGTATGTAGGGACTGGAAGAGAGTGTAGAGCTCAGCAAGTTGAAACCCCTAGTTTACCAGGTGGATAACTACAGGAGTCAGCCACATAACAGTTTATGGTGGAGTCAGGAATAGGGCTCAGGACCTCTAAATGCCAGGTCCATACACTCCAAAGCAGAGGTCACCAAGATAGTGCATTCCAGCTCATGCAGTTACTCATAGAAGAAGCCTTCTCCCAGGCCCTCACTCTAAATCTATTTTGTCTTATTTTTATTAAGTTCTAATGAGCAGCTTAACTGGTTTCTATTTTACAACATATTTCAGCTAATAAACTGATTTTAAAACAGTGAATAAAACATTACATAAAGAAGACATAAGAATTGCAAAGGCATAATAGTCTGGGGACCTTCAAAGCAGGGCAAGCAACATTACATAACTCAATATCCCAAAGACAGTTGATGTTCATAACAATGTCCCTGGATCACCAAGAAAGATTAGCATGTTTTACGTGAGAAAGCAGAGATTTGAATAAAGCACTTTAAAAAGCATTACACCCCGCTACCCCGGAAAAAATTTTTTTAGTCATAGCTAGGTAAAAACTTCAGCTACCTGGAAAATTCAGATCAGCAAAACAGCAAAACAGCTGTGACGTTCAAGGAAGTGACATTTCAGCTGTGTGCAGATAGGCACATTCTATAGCAATAAGGCTGGTGTGAGTTGGGCTAGTATCTGCAGAGAAGAGGAAAAAATAGCAAAGCTATGATCTCATTTTCTGTTTACACTTCAGTTCCCAAAGTTAGTGATTAATTGTCCTTGTGTTTTGTTGCCAGGGCAAATTGTTTTTCTTTAAAACTCCCACTTATTTTAAATAAATAAATCATTAGTTTCAAAACAGAAGTGTCAAATGTTAAGATACTTCTGACATGCTAAGCTAATGAACAAAACAGTGAATTCATTAGAAGCTACTAGAGATAGGCAGCCTTTGAGAACTTTCTTTAATGACTTTGAAAGGCAGCAGAAATCATTCTTGGTCAGAGATTTTTCTCATGCATCTTGGTTAAAATACCAATCTAGAGGTTGCAAACAAAAACACTACCTTAAAAGGATCGCGGTAGGTGTAAATGATAGAGTGGTAGGTAGGCCAAGTATTGGTAGTCAAATAAATATACCAACCAGCTACAACACTGTGCTTCCCAAACCAAACACACAAATTCTGCTTTAGGCAACCAGTTTAGAATCTCTCCTTGGGTCTCTGAATTTACCCAGAGGGCCTCAGACTCTTGCAAAGTAGAGAATTCTTTAGCAAATAGGCAATATTTACATCTGAGTCTTAACACAAATGCACCTATTTCTGGGTGACTCCAGTAGTTTCTGTATTATTAAGACTACCTATTAAATACAGTTCTGATTACGTCTTCCCTTTACTCACAGAATTGAGTCACTTGTTATTATGTCAGTCAAGGTCAACTGTAATCTAGTTTCAACTTATTCCCCCAAATATATCTCCTCCTACAATCCCCACAGACTCCCTGGCATCTCATTGTTCTCACAGTAGGTCTTGCACTTTTAGTTCTTAATGACAAATATTTATTGGGTAACTGCTATGTTCTAGGTCCTGCACCATGCACTGAAGATACATCTATGAAGAAAAGAATCTGAAAAAGAATAGATGCATACATATGTATAACTGAATCACTTTGCTGTACACCTGAAAATAACACATTATTAAGCAAGTATACTTCAATAAAAATAATAAATAAAAAGCATATGCAGTTTTTTTTTAAACTTCCACTTCTGATACAGATATTGTATCATTTTATAAATAAAACTCAGCTATATCAACAAGTAATTAAGTAATTAAGTAATCAATTGAGTAATTAATTAATTAAAGTCTCACTCTCTTGCAGCATACATTCTAACAGGGATCCTTCACCTCCTTCTGAGTGCATCCTCAGTGAGACACTTGTCACACTGTATGATAGCTCTGTCTCTGTTTTTCTCCCCCTGAACACTGCCTCCCCGTGACAGCTCTGTGTCTTACTCATCTCCCATCATCCCCACCCCACGCTTTGCTCTGTGGCAGGCACACACTGAATGTTCAATGAATGACTTATATTGTGTATAAACTTTCTTTTCCTGGAAATGTAAGTTCCTGTTGCGTATAGAATCTGTGAGATTATCTAGCTCTTCTTATTTATTTATTCTATTATCCAATGTTAAAATTTATTTATTTTAACATTGAGCTATTTTTAACAAGTAAGCCATTTTGTTGTCAACAGGAATGACAAATGCCAAGCTACTTCTGATGGACCTAAACAAAACGAGTGAAAGAGTGGCTGGACAGCCACATTGACTTAACCTCTAATGTGTCTTTCCTCAAATCCCAGAATCCCTAAACCCCTTTCTCTGGCTTTCCCAGGCTGCCTGGTCTACTTGTGGGCAGCCCCTCCATCTTTTCTCCTGGAGACCAGCAGAGAAGCTAATTTGGGAAGCTTCTCATCTTGTTCCCTTTCTCTTTGACCCTAAAGGTAGAATCTGAAGACCAGGTGCTGGCAACCTTCTGTGGCAGGGAAACCACAGACACAGAACAGACCCCTGGCCAGGAAGTGGTCCTCTCCCCTGGCTCCTTCATGTCTATCACTTTCCGTTCAGATTTCTCCAACGAGGAGCGATTCACAGGCTTTGAGGCTCACTACATGGCTGTGGGTAAGTTAGAGAAGTGGGTAGCTCATCCCTGGGTCTCCCTTTCTCTCTCAAGATTAAGAGTGCCTTGTGCTCTCTTCTTTAAAATGAACACCTTATACTCACCACACAGATTCTACCAGTAATGTCTTACTGCATTTGCTCTATCACTTATCTATCCATCTATCTATCCTCTATCCATTAATTCATCTTTTTTGATGCATTTCAAAATAAATTGCAGACATCAGTACTCTTCTTCCTAAATACTTTAGCATGCATATTGTTTATCTATTCACATTTTTTCTTTTAATGTAAAATTTACATTCAATGAAATGCACAAATCTTAAGTACATTTAAATTTTCAAAAATTTATATTTGTGTGCAACACAAACCCCTAAAAAGATGTTGAGCTTTATCATTAACCCAAAAAGTTCCCTTGTACTCCTTCCCAATTGCAATCCACTCCCACGGCCACAACTGTCCTCATTTTTTTTCCACCATAAATTAGCTTTGCCACTTCTAAAACTACATATAAATGAACACATACAGAATATATTTTGTGAGGTGAGGATTCTTTTACTCAGCATAAAGTTTTTGATATTCATTCATGTTGTTGCAATGCATCAGTAATTGTTTCTTTTCCTAGCAGAGTAATTTTCCATTGTATGAATATACTGCAATCTATTTATCCATTCTCCTATTGTTGGACACCTGGGTTCTATCCAATTTTTGGCCCTCAATAAAATTTCTGTGAAACTTTTTATACAAGCCATTTTGCAAACATGTTTTCACTTCTGCTGGGTATATATCTAGGAGCAGAATTGCTGAGTCATAGGGTAGGTGTATGTTTAGTTCTATAAGAAATTGTCAAACTTTTTCCAAAGTGTTTGCACCATTTTGTATTTCTCCACCAATGTATGAGAGTTCTGGCTGCTCCTTATCCTCACCAACATTTGATGTTATCAATTAAAAAATGTTGGGCTTCCCTGGTGGCACAGTGCTTGAGAGTCCGCCTGCCAGTGCAGGGGACACACGTTCGTGCCCTGGTCTGGGAGGATCCCACGTGCCGCTGAACGACTTGGCCCGTGCGCCATGGCTGCTGAGCCTGTGCGTCCGGAGCCTGTGCTCCGCAATGGGAGAGGCCGCGGTGGTGAGAGGCCCGCGTACTGCAAAACAAACAAAAAAATGTTTAACCATTCCATGGGGTATGTAGTGGTACTTCATTATGGTTTTAATTTGCATTTCCCTGGTGCCTAGTGATGCTGAGCATCTTTTCATGTGCTTCGTGGCCATTCCTGTATCTTTTGGGAAGAAATATATGTTCCAGTTTTTAAACTGGGTTGAGAACATAACATCTTTTTATCCTTATATTTCCAATGCCTAGGATAGGGCTTGACCCCCATAGGGACTTAGAAAGAGAGAAGCAGCATGGAGGAGAGGTTAAGAGCCCGGATTCTAGAGCCAGCCCACCTTGATTTGAATGCTGACTCCACCACTTAACTCTTGGTGTGACTCGGAGTAAGTTCTTCAATGGCTCTAAGTCTCAGCTTCATCATCTATAGAAAGGGGATCATAATGGTCCTGCTTACTATTATCACAACTGTTAGAGAACAGTGGCACCACCAGGAGTCAGGTTGCCTGGGTTTGAACCAGGCTCTCTGTGATCTTGGGTAAGTCTCCTTATTTGTAAATGGAGATAGTGGCTACTTATGGGCCTTCGATGAGGCTTAAATGAGGGATGCAGGAACCTCCCAACACAGTGAGTGGCCCATACTGAGTGCTCTGTAAATGTTGGCTGTTGTCTTCACCATCACACATGAACTGGTTGACTGAGAGGCTCTACCTGCCCCGCAGATGTGGACGAGTGCATGGAGCGAGAGGATGAGGAGCTGTCCTGTGACCACTACTGCCATAACTACATCGGCGGCTACTACTGCTCCTGCCGCTTCGGCTACATCCTCCACACAGACAACAGGACATGCCGAGGTGGGGCCCAGCAATGATTCTGTGCATCACCATTATGTGCTGTATTTTCTGATAAGATTAGGGGAGGCTCATAGGAAGGACAGATATGCAGTAGGGATGATTTAAAATGAAATCAGAGAGCTGTACCTCAGATACCACAGGGATAAAGATGCTGAAGTGCCCACCAGCCTGGAAGTCGGGTTCAGGTTCTCAGAGGACCCATTTCAGAA